GTGATGTCTCGGTGATCGTGGGTATCGTTAAAGTGGGCGTGGTCTGTCCAGGAAGAAGTTTATTGTTTCTGTACCATTGGTACTGAAGCTCCTCCCCTTCCGCTGATATACTTAATGAGACTTTACTGTTGAATGGAGCGTATAATGACTGAGGATGTTCCAGTATCACTGGGGGATTGGATACACCTAATATGATATAAAATAGCTTATAGATACATGTATATTCACTAATTTATTATTAAAGGTATATTGTACATCAGCCTGTGCCCTTTACATACATGCAGATGTACATGTATCTGGGATACATGTACACAATACTAAACATGCAGATGTACATTACAAATGATTACATGTATCTCTATTGCTAATACATGTACATACACGTAAATAGAGCTACTAATTCCTAATTTGAGAATACAAATAATGCACATCTTCATTACCTCCTCCTCCTATTGCTGAAGCACTGGACTCAATATGAGGGACTGATATCATGAAACCTTCCATCCTCAGTGAGTCCTCAAGTAAGGAGACTGTCGGACGATAAGTAAGCACCTTCCACTTCTTTAGTATCTGAAATACTTGATCTTCAACTGTACTGTAATTTAACCTAAAAAACACAAAGTTCATTTGTGAGTCATAAATACACACACACAGTACAATAGAATGGTGGTAAGATATTATCCAGGAAAGCAGTGGGATCATTGTTAGTAAATCCTAATAAATCTTAGTAATACATGTAGTTGAATATAATTTTATACACAGAAGTTTATGTAAACACAGGAAATTGATAAAGGGAGTAAGGGGCATTTTATTTGAGGGGTTATTTCGGAGCCAATTTTTGGAAAAACCATGGGCTACCCATAGCCTTTGCTTTTTTCAAAAGCTTGCTTGTTTTTAAAAATGCTCATAACTTGAAAATTATTTATCGGAATCAGCTCAAACTTTCTACACAGCATAAAGACATCAATGTGTATCAGAAAATGTAATAAAAATTTGGGGTGATTTTGGAGCCATTTCTTGGAAAAAAACCATGGGCTATAGCCTTGGGTATTTTTCAAATTTTTGACATTTTTTTAATGGCCGTAACTTAAAAAATTGAAGTCGGAATCACTTCAAACTTTCTACATAGCATAAGGACATCAATATGTATCAGAAAATGTAATAAAAAATTGGGGTGATTTCGGAGCCATTTCTTGGAAAAAACCATGGGCTATAGCCTTGGGTATTTTTCAGAATTTTGACGTATTCTTAAAATGGCTGTAACTTGAAAATTATTTGTCGGAAACAGCTCATACTTCCTACATAGCATAAGGACATCAATATGTATCGAAAAGTGTAATAAAAATTGGAGGTGATTTTGGAGCCAATATTTAGCCTTTGACCAAATTTTATAGCAATTAACGTTAAAAAAATTCATAAAAATCAAATCTTGATCAGAATCAGTTCAAAAAATTTCTACACAACAAAAAAAAGCATGTAAAGCATATGCATCAGAAAAAAAATTATAAAAATCCTCTCCTAGCCATTTCTGATGAAATACAATGAGCTATAGTCCCTAGTCTTGGACCAAATAACAAACAAATCCACACACGCTACCACCTGCCCAGCAGAAAATAAACACATGACTCATGCCCATAATTAATATATGCATGTATGTATGCATATATACACACAGTCAATCCAACAACAAAATATTTTACCCAAAAACAATCAAGATAACCAAAACAAGAAGCAAATACAAAACAGCATATATGTACATGCACATGTACATACATTGTATATGTACATGCACATGCACATACATTGTATATGTACATGCACATTGTATTAGGTAGAGGGTAAAGCTTTTGTGTAAGGGAAGACAACATAAAAATACCACAAAAATGTACTAGACTACATTTTAAATGATTAAAAACATCATGCACTCGTTACCTGATGCTGGAGAGCTCGAATTTCGAGACGCTAAGACAAAAAGCGATTCTCTCGATGCTGTAGGTTGAGTTGCTCTGTCGTTTTAGTTGACTCTTTAGCTGGCCAGTGACTATCTTTAGCGCTGGCTCTGTCACAAGCTCGTCTTTTTGGTCTCCCTCCATTAGGGGAGAGTCAGAAGGGAATAAAGGAGGAGAGGAGTGCTGGGTGGTGAGATGCTTGCGTGGTGAAGAGGGGGCAGTGTAAGATGGAGGGAATGCAATTTCGTGATCTTCAAGATCATCAACACCTATACATGGGCACAAAGGAATGAGAATAAATTATAATTACATACGGGTATAAAATTCCATGGGATATTTAATTTCACGGATTTCATGGGTGACTTCTTAACCACAAAAATTATTAATACCATGGAAATGCTCACTGTGCATGCACAGGATGTGAAAATCTATGACTTCAAGTGCACGTGCAAAAATGCGAAATCTAACCCCTTTGAAATTAAACAACTAAGAACTACTGACTAAAACATGAAATTTTATACTCTTGAAATTTACTACCCGTATGGGATATATGTGTAGAATGCAATATAATCTACAACTACAGTTTGAGAGAGAGAGAGAGAGAGAAAGAGAGAGAGAGAAGTAAAGTAAATAAAGAAGTGACAAGATTAGAAGAGAGAGGCAGACATTTTAAGTCACTAACTAAGCTGAGAGTCAGAAGAGCTCCTTTGTGACTTAGTGAGCAACCTAACATCAATCTCCCCACTGAGAACACTCCCCCATTCATTCCTAATAGAGCACATGTACTTCCCCTCATCCCTCACAGTCACACGAGGTACAACCAGCTCACAACCGCTAAAATGAGGCAACTCAACTTCGTTTTTGAACCAGCGATAAGTCGGCTCGGGCGTGCCTTGAACAGTGAGTTTTAGGTGGAGGCGGGCTCCAATTAGAATAGTCATGCTAGGAGGCGGTTGCTCGATGATGAGAGGTGGAGAGGGTGAGGTGTGAATGGCTGGAACCTCTGAAATAAAATAAAAATAAATAAATAATAAAAAAGTACATGTAAATAATGCAATACTTTCCGTAAAGTAC